GATAGCCTCGGTGTCAGCCATCTTTCAATTGTGTTCGCAGCCGCCGCCGCGCCGCCGTCGCTCGCCAACGCCAGCGCCGCCTCTAGCTCGCCGAGCTCCAGCCCAAGGAGAAGGGGGGTAAGTTTCCCCGGCCGCCCGCCTCCCCGGGACCGAGCCCCGCTCGCCGCCCGCCGCGGGGCCGGGCCCCGGCGCTGCGGGGACGGCCCCGCGGCCCCCGCGGGCTTGGCCCGCAAACTTTTTGGCCCCGAAATGGAGGTGAGGAGCGAGTTTCCCTCGGCCCGAGGCGGCGGCGGCGGCGGCGGCTCTCCCCCGTCTCTCGCCGCCTCAGCCCAACAGCAGCCACCGCCGCGGCGCCGAGCCGCTCTCCCTCCTCCCCGCGCCCCGGGCTCCCCTTTCTTCGGCGAAATCCCGCCCGCCGCCCCTTCCCGGGACCCCAGACCCTCACCACGACCCGCGCGGGCCCCTTAACTGCCGCCCCCAGGCCCCGGGCCGCGGTTTTCGGGCGGGAAAGGGCTGGAAATCGCCGCCGCTTCCCACCCCGGGGTAACTCGCTTTTTGCTGCCTCCCCACAGTTGTTGCTAAGCTTCACCATCTTGTCTCTCTTCTCTGGTCACCGACCATATTTTCTCCCCCGTTTCTCTCTTCCCCGTTTCACAAACGGGGGAACGTTTTTCGCAGAGGGACATTTTTCTCTCCTTTTTTGGAGAAGCGGAAACTTGATGCATTTGAAATGCAAAAAAACTTTTGCATTTTGGAGGGCGGCACGTGGCAGGGGATCGGGGCATTTTGGAGCGTTTTGGTGTGTGGTGCGTCCGGGAGGCAGCGGATCGGCGGCGCGATTGTTTCCATTTTGCTGGGGTCTGGGAGCCGCGCGGGGCGGCGGGCGGGCCGCGGGCCGGGCCCGAAAGTTTCCGCGGGCCGGGCGGCCGGGCTGCGGGCGCTCGGGTGATGTCGCCGAGGAGCCCCCGCGGGCCGGACGCGGGGACGGGGCTTTGTGGACGGCCCTCCGCGGGAGCTGTCGGCCCCGCCGGCCCTCGAGAGCTGTAGAGACGCGGACCCAGGGCTGCTGGCCGATATTTACGGAGATCTGTGCGCTGCCAGGCGCACTGGGGGGCAGCCGCGGGGGGGCGGGGGGGGCGAAAACCTTTTTTTTTTTTTTTTTTAATGCCGATATTTGACTCGACCTTTCTGTGGTTTGTGGCTTCGTTGTTTTGACTTGTTCGTGGATCGGGTGTTTACAGACATACCTAGTTTCTGCTTTAATTAAAGAAATTGAAGCAGAGGCTGTTAGGGGTCTTTTTGTTTTGCCGTTTGTCGCTCAGATTTGGCATTTTGAGAGATGATTGGCGTTAATGCTAGCAATCTTGTAGTTCTACGGTTTGTTTCAAGAAGTCCTATTGGGGTTGTAGACGTAATCTGCACCCTTTAGAATTATATTACATTACGGACTTTTTTTTTTTGTACTGGTCATAATTTCCAGATTTTCGGGGGTGGGGGTGATGGTAGTGGCAGGAAAACTTGGATGTTTGGTAGTTGCATATATGATGTTTGTTTTTTAATGCTGGTAGGTAAGTAAGGGAGTTTCTGTACCATGGCTCGTACAAAGCAGACTGCCCGCAAATCGACCGGTGGTAAAGCACCGAGGAAGCAACTGGCTACAAAAGCCGCTCGCAAGAGTGCGCCCTCTACTGGAGGGGTGAAGAAACCTCATCGTTACAGGTATTT